TTTTTTTTAATATTTAGTTTTTAGTTGTAGTTGGACATAATACCTTTATTTCACTTATTTATTTTTATGTTGTGTTGAGGATCGAACCCAGGGTCCCACACGTGCGAGGCAAGCGCTCTACCGCTGAGCCATCACCCCAGCCCTCTGCCAAATATCTTTAAAGAAACAAAAAAAGAATTGTATCTTTATTAAGCCAGAAACAAGGACTTTGTTTTTTTTTTTTAGATTCTACAATCAGGACAGATTGGGGACTCAATATCCTAAGCTACTATGGAGAAGAAAACTCTTAAATTAAAGGGTTGAAGAGGGCTTGGGAATGCTGGATGACTTGGTAATATTAGATGGCACTAAATTACTCCTAGCTGACCCTGAGCTCCTCCTCTATTGCATTTCCACCAGCTCCGCTGGTTCTTTCCAGAAACACTGAAAACAGATGATTGTCTGCTCTAACTCCTCTTCCCTCCGCAGGCTCTTGCCTCCTTTCAAGCTGACACAGACGGGCCTCCCTCACTTTTGTCTCCTTGGCCTTAGACACAGAACCTGACCCTGTCTCTGTGGGGTATTTGACTTGGGGTCCAGGAAGTAGCCTGTTTATTGCAGACTCTGAACTGCAAAAGAAGCTGGTATTTACTGTTTGGGTATCTCAGAAAGCCATTTCAGTCCAAATTGGATAGCACCCCACACCATCCTGCCCCAAGCCCAGGTCCAGGAAAACTTCCCTAGAACAGGCTGCAGCTTCTCTTTGTTGACAGTGATTCCAAGCTGATTCTAAAAGTTTTTTTTCCAGTAGATTCACACAAAATTAATTTTTCCTCTGGCAGGGCAGCTTGATTTGATTTGGGTTATTTGACTACAAAAGCCCAGAGGCCAAGCATTTATTTAGAAATATTAGGAATCAGCAGCACAAATGAGATTGAGTTTTTGTGAAAAGTTAAAGATTTCTCATTTAGGGAGGGAGTTCACAAAAGACCCCATTAGCCACGCCTCGACAGTAATTAGTCTGATTTCTCAGGCGAAAGGCAGGCTAATTGTGTAACATCCATTCCAAAAGGCCCAGAGACACTTTAAAACCTACCACCCATAGAAAAATATCTATAGAGAATCCCTGCTGTGTCTGAAGTCTTTTTCATTAACCGAATGTTCAAATCGAGATCAATATGTGAACTTCTGAACAAAATGGGTATAAGTGTGTGTGTGTGTGTGTGTGTGTGTGTGTGTGTTTTAACTGGCAAATTCTGGGCCTTGTACTTATGACCCTCAATTACGGAAGTGGTAAAGACCTGCAACACTGTGAGATACAAATTATTATCCAAGTTTAGTAGATGAGGTAACTGAGATTCAAAGAAAGTAAATAACATTCCCAGAGTTGCACAATGAGTTAGTGGTACAGCTGGGGTTCAGTGGGTTAAAACAAATACAGTAGACCCAGGAAAAAAGCCACATTAAGGGAGGTGTTGGAGGCAAGCTGGTTGACTATCGAGAACTGCAGGATGGTCTGATTGTAACCACGTGATCTCTCAGGGACAGAAGTCATTAACAAAGTGCTTATGATGAGATTAGTGTTGAAACCAGTGCAGCAGAACCAGCTGTGTCTGGCCTCTGCTTACCTGAGCATCTGGATACTTACCTGAGCATTTGGCCTTGACTCACTGTATCCCAGGGACCATCTGGGATACATGCATACAGGGGTGGTCCCACAACAAAGTCCTCAGGAATGAGGTTGCAGTCGAGCTCCACGTTCATGAAGACTGCAGCAGTACCAGTGCTGGACACTTTGGGAACATTTCTTACCATGGTGACACACTGACAGCTTTGGTGTGGATAGCTCACCATCTCAACTCCTATAAATGTCACAAATGCATCCAGTAGTCCCCAGGGAGACGTACAGATATGCTGGATTGGAAACACTGACCTCTTGACTTCTTTCCTCTTCCAGGCTCCTGTCCTGATGCTAGAGCTTGGGTCTCTTTGTCCCAGGTCATCCACTAGACATCTGCTGCTCGGTTCCAAGTTGTAATGGCCTTTGTTACTTCCTTCTGTCCTGTACCTCAGTTAACCTCAGGTGGGTGAAGTTTTTCATCTTCTCTGTGTTCCCAAAGCCCCAGGCCTTCCAATTCTTAGGAATTTTTTTATAGGCTCTGCCATTTTTATTATTTGCTTGATTGTTTGCAGTACTGAGGACTGAACCCAGGGCTGCTCTACCACTGAGCTATAACCACAGCCCCTTATATATGAGACAGGGTCTTACTGAATTGTCCACACTGGCCACAAACTTGTGATCTCTCTGCTTCAGTCTCCCGAGTGCTGGTGGCATGTGCTATTGTGCCCAGCTTAAGCCTCTGTCATTTTATCAATACCTTCAGTCCTTTTGGCTCCTAGAAACCCCATAGAAAACATCCCCAGCAGGCCTGTGCCACTGACTGTTTAGTAAAAAATATGTCAATTTTTTACTTTGGGGTATTTGACATCATTGTTAGAATGCAGGTGCCTCATGCCCAGGTATTGGCAGGTATGGCATGGAGCCTGAATGCTGCAGTCTACTAAGCTGCTCAGGGATTCTTACATGGAAGGTGCATTGAGAAACAGTCCAGGCCTTTGAGCTGTGCTTCCACCCTGCCATGATGATCTGAGGTCATCTGTCTTGCTGGGTGCTGAGATCCTATTGAGCAGGGATGGTAGCTCATTCATCTCCACACCGTGATGTCTAGACTCACACCTGGCACACAGTGGGGCATTGACAAATGTTCGTATCATGAATGAATGGAGTCATCGTGTGAGGAGAACTTTCTTTACAAAATCAAAGAATTGGATGAGATAGCATGCTTGGTGCACTGTACTGATGGAGGGCCAACCTGATTCCCAGGTGCTGGGAGCAGACCTTAGGCAAAGGTAAAGGGAAGAGAATATTAGAAACAGAAACAGCTCCAACAGGCAAACAGTGTCCAGGCAGTGAGCATGTGGAGCCCAAGTCAGAATCCTCATGTGGCTCAGGTTAAATGTCTCTGAAATTACAGTGGAGAAGCCATTGTGCAGCTCCAGAAAGGCAGGTGATAGCTATGGGTTGTTTAAGTGCTCCCCAAGGCCTCTGTGTTAAAGCTTTGGTACCTGGGGCGGAACCATTGGGAGGTGGAACCTTTAGGAGGTGGGGCCTTGTGGGAAGTCCTTAGGTCACTGGAGGTAGGTCCTTGCAGGGAAGAGTGAGATCCTGGTCTCTTTCCTTTTCTCTCTTTTTTTCTTTTTTGTTTTCTGGCCATGAGGTGAAAGGTTTTGATTTATCACATGCTCTTGCTGTGATATGCTACTTCACTATGGACTGGAAGCTTCAAAACTGTGAATCAAAATAAGTCTTTTCGCTTCATAATATTATTTACCTCAGATGTTTTGTTACAGTGATGGAAAGATAACTAACTCAGTGATAGAACCAGGCTGGAGGATGATTCTACTGCAGAAAAGGGGTGTTTTGCTCCCCGCCCCCACCAAAGACTGGTTTCTTCTAATATTCAAAGCTTTTTTTTTTTTTTTTACTTTTTAAAGTATTTATTGGAGGCTAAAAAAGAATTGATCTAAGAGAAAGAATTGATAATTTCTCAAATCAGAGATTTGCCTTTTATGGTAAAAGTGTCCAACATGTCAAATAAAGTTTGCTTTCATATGTGCTGTGTCCTTATGGCACTGTGGACGAAGACTTGGTTGTGGCTGAGGGTCAGGGAAGCTCTGCAGGGCAAATGCTGTCAGATGTAAGTGGTCTCCAGACTTTCTTCTAGTGAGGCACCCTTCTTGGTCAGAAGCCCTGTCCCTAGCTCCAGTCCCCTCACAGGGGCCTTTATAACTGCATCCGCCTGCACCGCAAAGTCAAGAAAGGACACATCCCTATACTCCCAGGAGCTGGAGTTGAGCTTTTTGTGCCTGAGCTCCATACTCATCAAGCACCACTTCTCTCAGTCCTCAGCATGACTTTTGGGCATAGCTCTTCGACAGCAAAGGAAGCAGGGGCAGAGATAGGGGCAGGGAACTTGCCCCAGGGACCACAGCTGGTGGTGGGAGAGGCAGGATTTAGATCAGAGCCTCACTCAACCTGTGTGCTATGCTACATCTTGACTTTTTGCTCAAAAAATGAGCTTTCAAGTCAGGTAAACTGTATTTTGTGGATAAGTCAGTCCTCACACCAGGGTGTTGTTTTCTGAATGGAACTTGGCCTGGGGAGGCATCTGGGGTTTGCCATCTCTGCAACCCTTGTCCTGGGCCTGGTATTGGGCAGAACGGAGCCACGGATCACCTTCCCTGTCTCACACCCGCCCGGCCTTCAGCCCTCTTTGGTCTGTTGTTGATACCTTTCTCTCAGGGAGGCCCAGTGTCCCCAGGTGCGGTCGACGTCATGGAACATTTGCTTCAAAATCACAGGTAAGTTCAAAACACTCCCAGCTCAGGATACTTGATACGGCTGAGTGGTGCCAAAGGGATGTGGCCTCATATGGCCCTTACCCTGGCCGGCCTTTGTCCTTAGCATCAGACTCTAAGGATATATGAAAAGCAGAATAGCTACAATTGTATTTTTTAACTTTTTATTTGTGATCATTTAAAACTTATAAAAAGTTCACAAAAATAAAGAAAGTACAAGGATAACTTATCTTGTCATTGCTTTATGCCACTTGCTGTATTGTTTGCCTGTTCCTCCTCTCCTCCAAATACATTACAGTGTATATTGTTATATAATGCAATTTTTTTTTCCTGAATGGTATGTTACATGCCTCATGTCCCTTTACACTGAAATATTTCAGTATTTCCTAAGAAGAGGGATAATCATAATAGTTGGCAAAGTGCTTTATCTAACTTACCTTCCATATGTCAGTTTCATTAATTGACCTATTAATGTCCTTTAAGCCCTGCTCTGCCTCCAGCACAGGTCTTGGGTCAGGTATTGTGTTTTGTTGTCATATCTCTTTAGCCTTCTTTATTTCAGCTTTTATGATGTTGATCCCACTGTACCCACCCCCACCACTATATTTTTTTTAATTTTCGCATTGTGGGTCATCTTCATGCAAGAGGTATGCCAATCTTCTCTGTATCGTCTCAATTTTAGTGTATCTGCTGCCAAGGTGAGCGTGACACACTGCTTTTGTTTGACTAGCATATTCCTTATTGGATGTCTTTTTGATGTTTCCTCATGGTTAGCTGCCCAGGTGATGAGTATACTATCCGGGGTATCCCATCTGGAGCCACATAATATCACCTGTCCTGCAGAAATGAGGTTACTTTTAATCATCCAGTTGAGGAGTCAAGCATTATCTCCATTGTCTAGCTACTGCTTTAGGTTTTATTTTCTCCCTTGCAGCTAATAAGCAGCTAATGATATGTGGGGAGTCACTCAAGGACTAAGCAAGTATCCTAACCCAACTACTGCAAGAACACTTTTCCTGTGCATTTACAGACATGGCCTATTTTCCTGCTAGGGAGCCTCCTTCCACTTCTTCTGACCACAGCCTGTCTTCTCTTGGCTCAAAGCCCTCTTACCCTATGAGGAGTAGGATCAGATCTGAGGTGCTAATGCTGTGATTAGGAAGCTGTAGATGGAACGGAAGCAGAGAAAAGAAGAAATGTTAATTAGGTGGTCCCACTGAGAGAAGGAAACTGTCCCCAGCAGCCTGGCTCATCTCCAGGAAAAAGAGAGAAAGACTGGAAGGCTGGAAGGTGGGGCTGGGATTGTGGCTCAGCGGTAGAGCACTCGCTTAGCACAGGCGGGACCCGGGTTCGATTCTCAGCACCACATAAAAATAAAGGCATTGTGTTGTATCCATCTAAAAAAAAAAAAAAAAAAGATTCTCCCTCTCTAAAAAAAAAAAAAAAGACTGGAAGGTCTGGGAGATCCAGGAAGTTACAGTCGCAGAAGCGTGGACTGGTCCTGTGAAATTGTCCCTGACTTCAGCACCTCGAGCTGTCTTTGCAGTGTTCTCTGTGGGCAAAGGCATCCCAGAGGATCTGAGGCAGGATGCCCTCCAGAGCCTGGCCAGCAGCTGCCAAGGCTTTTAAAAAGCCCACAAAACCCAATGGCCTTATTGTTATGGGAAGCAGACTGGTAGAGAAGCAGCAAGCAGCACTCAGAGGAGGACTCCTAACTTTATTTTATGCAGGGGGAGTGGGGGGGGGGGGGTGGGTTTGGTAGAGGAAAACAAACTCCAAATTCTGAGCCCTAATAATCACAGTTTCTTACATTTATAGGTTCTGTCATCTTAGACTCATCCTATCATTGGGGTTTTTTTCCTCTCTTGAGAGATTTCCTAATCTGTGCGGCTGAAGGCCTTGCGTAGGTTCTCTAACAGGCTCACAGAAACAAATAAGAAGAAAGGGCTCTTTTCACAGGCATCTGTTACATTTCAAGAGGGAGGAGTCAGACTCTTAGGGCAGTTATTTACAAGCCAAAAGGTAGGGACCCAGGATTAACTAGGCTCTCTGGAGAAAGGCTGAGAGCCGTGGGAACTGACCCATTCCCCGGGCATTGGTTTCTTACCATAAGGTTTTTTATAATTTCATTTTACAATCAGGTCTGGTTTTGCCTACACATCACGACAAAGAAGAACAAGCTGCAACTTTAATTGCTTCAGAGCCCAGAGGAGCCATTTGAACTCCTGTTCAGACCCTAAACTGTTCACAGCTGTTCCGGAACCAAGTGGATGCCAAGGGGGCTGACCGAACAGAATTGTGCTGGAAACAGATGGTCCAACCATTCACTGAGAAGTTCCAACCAGGACCCAGGTAGCCAGCTCTTTTCATCCAGCTCTTCTGCAAAACAAAGAAGCAAATAAGAGTCTTTATTTACAAATTCTATTGAACCCTAAATAGGTTGAAGAGATGTTCCTTTGACTGGCAGGTCCCTGAAGAAAAGCTGCCCTGCAGCATCGTGAGGATTTTATGTCATGTTGGGAAGGTGTCCCAGAAGACAACAATGCAGAACCGTTTTTTCCATCCATCTATTCATCCATCCATCCATCCATCATTTGTCTCTCTCCTTTCCCTTTTTTTTCTCTCTCTCTTTGTAAGATGTTTTTTCCTAAGCTAGGTTTTTATCATAATGACCAAAATACCTAACCACAACAACTCAGAGGAGGAAAAGTTTATTTGGGCCTCACGGTTTCAGAGGTTCAGTCCATGTTTGGCTGACTCCATTTCTCTGGGGCCCATATCCATCCTTTCATTCATTCAGCCAATGACAATTTCTTGAATAGCAACTGCGTGCCTAAAGACCCAGAACACTGAGCCAGAGACGGAGAAAGGAAGAAACTCCCCAGTAATCAAAGGGAAAATAATAGTTCCATCCTGAAAGGGTGAATGGGGAAAACCCTTAATTTCACTAAGAAAATGTATAGCCCCTAATGATATTTTAAAATACAGAATCTAGAACCTACTGGAAGAAAAAGACTTTCTTTTCTTTTACTGTAGGAAAAAAAAAACAAAAACAAAAAACAAGAAGCATAAGCTGATCATTCATTAGAATCAACCACAAACCTCTGAGGTATGGAGCTGCTAAAAGGTGGTATTTCACATTGACATTGGGCTTTATAACTAGGACACAACACAGAACCTAGAGCCGTTCAATACTTTTCTATGCCCTCTGTAGATCTTGTAGAAAACAGGTCAGGTAAGTTGGAGCTGCACAGAAGGAAATGGCTGGGAAGGCGAGCTTGCTACAGCGTGAGCAACTGCTGCAGCCCAGGGGAGAACCCGGACTCCTGCAGTACCATGCCAGGGGATGTGGGGATAACGGAAGCAGCAGGGCTCTTTCTGAGCCAATGCACAGATTCCTGGGAACAGTTGAGACTTCTGCTGTTTAAGGAATTAAATGGTTGGAATTTCACTCACCCATTGAAAATGCTCCCAGGATGATACTGAAATGTCAGACAGGGGTTTTCTCTGAGAAATTCAGGGGGCTGGAGGGTGTGCTGCCAGGGAAGGAGGCAGAGGAAGAAACCCTGCTTGGGAGCCATTTCTTCAGGGTCAGGAGTGTGGAGTCTGACAGCCCAAGGTCCCTTCATTGGCAATGAGCTGACTCAGGGTCAAGTCTAGGGAACAAAGTTTCCTCAGGCTGGGGTGAGACCTCATGCTTTTAATAATTCTTTGTAAGGAATGAAGAAATTTTTGTGAGGGCACCTTCTGCCTCCTATCACTGGTTAATCTTTCTGAGATATTTTGATTAGTTGCTAATCCAAGCAACTGGTTATATTTCCACTCAAGTGGTGCCCATGATGATATAGAGAATGAAGGACACCTGAAGCCTTGTCCCCCCTGGTGGGAAACCTGCTGCTCACCAGCCTAAACAGTATAGAACTCAACCAAGAACCAGAAAGTAAGAAAAGCCATACAAACCCAGAAAACATCTGAGAAGCCAGGATTGATGTCTCACTTGTTTATTTGTACCCTATTAAAAAAAAAAAAAAGCATTGGAACAACTTTAGTTTATTCACATGTGAACTCTCTCAGGGCTCCATCTAGACTCATTTACATAAACTTTATATGTAGTACTGACAAATCATCTGAGTTCTCAGACAAAGCAAATAACTAAACATGGGAGAAGCTTCTACAGGTAGACTAACTGGTAACAGCAAGAAATAGCAGGTGCCAACAAAAAGGGAGACAGAAACAGCAACTATTAATAGTCCCAAGAACTCAAAATCAACTCTCTGGGTCCATTGAGCACAGGGTTAAATAACCCTTGATCTTAAATCTATTTTTTTTTATTGGTTGTTCAAAACATTACAAAGCTCATGACATATCACCTTCCATACATTTGATTCAAGTGGGTTATGAACTCCCATTTTTTACCCCAAATACAAGTTGCAGAATCACATCGGTTACACATCCACATTTTTACATAATACCATATTAATGACTGTTGTATTCTGCTACCTTTCCTATTTAAATTGGGCCATTTACTGATATTTTTATTGATGACCCTGAGTCTCTATGAGAAGGTAAAATTATGTTCACTTTACCTTGTTAAAGAACTTAAAATGTAAATACATTTTGTCTCCTATGACGAAATTTAAAAACTTTGAGCTTAAAATGATTAAACTTGCAAGAACTTAGAGACTTAGTCATCCAAAATGATTCTCAGTGCAAGGTTCATCTTGAAGACAGGTGTGTTTGGGGTTTACATTAGTCAAACTCTTGGTATGAATTATATTTCCCATCTTGAAAGGAATCATTTGGAACTTCACACAGATCTTTGAAAATAATGTTAATATGATTCATACAGAAATGAATCAGGACCACAAGGACCAGGTTTTCACCTGGAATCCATGCTGGTTATGAATGAGGGACCAGAAATATTTGGTGCCTCTTAAAATTAATAAGGTAATTTAGAAATATAATTCAAAGTATTTGATCTAAATTCCAAGGTTACTAGTATAATTATACTTTTGGTTTGGTTGGTTGTGCCTTAGAACCTGGAATTGGCCTGGGGGAGGGCACAGTGACCACTGTTTTGGCTTAGGATGGAACCCAGTGAGAGACCCCTACATAAATGATGACAGCAAAGGAAGAGTAGACCACAAAGGAAACAGAACAGTGGCCAAAGAATGGGAACCAAAAGAATAGGATATCCCAGAAAAAAAGTCAAACTTCCAAAGAAGGGAGAGATTAATAGGTTCCATGCCACTAAAGGTCAAAATGGAGACTTAAAGTGTCCATGGATTTGTCAATGTAGTGGTCATAATTGATGTTGTAAAATGGGATATAAATGGTCTCTACCACATATGTTGGCAATGTGTAGGAAATGCGATAATTCATTCCAGTTCCTTAGCACAGTAGTTGACATCAAATATTTGAAATACATAAGCTATTTGTATTACTATCATTATTGTCATTAAGTATATTTACCTTTTACATCACTGGAACCAGCCCTTTTCCTGCTCTAGTAGGTAATGTAGGGCAGATCTCTCTGGTCCTACTTGTCCACTTCCCTTGGCTCATCAACACTATACCTGAAGATATGGCACTAGGAGTCCTTCTTCTATAGAGTAAACACACACACAAACACCTCACACAATCCCATGCATATCACGGGCCATTCTATAAACTCCCTGGTTTTCCCCACCAAGGGCAGTCACATTC